GGTACTAATTTCATACCAGATATTCTGCTCAGGGAAAATACCTTGTGGAATATTTAAATTAACACATGAGAGACCATGTCCTCCAGAGAAMTAACCTTTTAAAAATCATTGGGAGCCTAAAGTTTTGGTATCCAAGTCAGAGAAGTTCTCAAGAGCATAGAATGTTAAGGAATATTTCTACTATATTGTCTTCTGACACAATGTCCTATTACCCCAGCTTATTTCTGTGGAATGCTCAGCTATGAGTTCCCAGTATKATTAAGAAAAATGTAATTTTTTTAGAACAAAGACAATTGTTCAAGCCTTACTACAGAATAGGATAATGTTACATGGGAAGGTGCTATTGAAAAACTATTTCATTTGTTGTTGTCTAATAAGATAAAATTTCTAAAATGGATTTTTTTGAAAGGCATCACCATCTATTTCCATGGCAAACTTCCATAAAGGCAGCAACATTGATAATTTTTTTGCACTGTGTCTGCAGCTAGTGTAAAATAGGCAATTAGAGAAGAAGCCAATCTCCTGTTGGCCAAAGGCAAAACTGTGAAGTAAAATGAGTATTTTTTTTAATTAAAACAGATAGTAGTATTTGGTATATTAAAAAGAGGATTTCTATAAAAAGTTGAAATAAATAGTTTGTTGTTTAAAAAGTTTCTATATCCTGTGATACTTAAGTAACAATTCTCAAAGAGTTTGGCTAGCACAAGCATTTTCTATAGTTTCCAGATTTGAGATTGAAGTTGCTATTAAGTAAATCTCTCATTTATGCCCTAGATAACAATATTTTTTTTTTGCTGATTCTCTTTTTCTTTTTTTTATTGGTTGTTCACAACATTACAAAGCTCTTGACATATCAAATTTCATACATTAGATTGAAGTGGGTTATGAACTCCCAATTTTTACCCCAAATACAGATTGCAGAATCACGTCGGTTACACATCCACAATTTTACATAATGCCCTTAGTAATTGTTGTATTCTACTACTTTTCCTATCCCCTAMTATCCCCCCTCCCCTTCCCTCACATCTTCTCTCTCCTTGTTAGATAACAATATTATTGCAAAATGTTTAAGTGGTATTATTGAATCAGTGACAGCCAGATGTTCTCATACATTTTCCACAACCAGAGGGGAAATGGACAGTCAGGAAGAATTGCTTCCAGAAAAATTTAAGACTCAGTCTTGGACYGTCAGTAGGAGAATTGATACGTAGCACCTTCTCTTCCACTAACCAGTTTCAGAATTATAGTCCATAGTAGTTTACTCATCAATGAAATGAGGGGGTGGGCTAAAAAATCTTGAAACATCTTTGGATTTCTAATGTAGTCAATCAATACAATGAGAATGAAGTACAAATTTCAAATTTTGTTAGAAAGATAAGCAAAAGAATACTGGGCACATATTAATGTGTAACAAATTACTCTAAAACTTGGTAACTTAAAACAGTGATAAACATTGTCATACAATTGGACTCAGGTATTCAGGAGTGGTTTAATGGGGTGGTTCTGGCTCACATTTCTTTGTGAGGTTACAGTAGATATGAAGCCAAGTCTATAGTCATCTGAAGGCTTGAGCAGGGTTGGAGAATTTGCTTCCGATCACTTTAGGATCACTCACTTGTCTGCAGGGTAGTGTTGGTGGTTGGTGGGAGGCCCTCAGTTTCTTGTTGTGTAAGCCACAACATAGCAGTTGACTTCCTTCAGAGTTAGTAACCCTGCTATAGGCCAGAAGTTTTGATGTGTTTTATGATTCAACCTGGTTACATAGGGACAACCCTTTTCAGTGTGAGAGGAACTTCACAAAGGGATGGAGCTAAGAATTACTAAGGACCAACTTGGTGATGGCTCATTATCATAATAAACAAAGTGAGTAACAAAAAAGAAATGTAATGCCAGATTCGTGGGACCCCAATAGACCTCCAGGAGCCGAATCCGATGCAGTCACACAAGAGTCTTTATTGCAAGCTCAAGCCTGGACTCACAACCATTCCCGACGAAGCGGTCCCAGGGAGTGAGTCCCAGTTCAGTGAGATTTTATAGGTTTTGGGGGGATACTCTATGTGTCACAACATCATACAGCAAAACATTCCATACTGAAGGAAAATCAAACAAYTCTTAACGTTGATTAGCTCATTCACTGGCAGGAACAAGTTGGGTAGGGGTGATTGGCTAGTAAAAGAGGGGGGTTCATTTGAACTGATTGGTTTAGGCCACAAGGGGTGTACGTGCTAAAATACATGGTTTCCCAACATGATATCAACCACCATAAACTACTTGGGGGTCATCTGGCATCCCAGGTATTTTCCCCTGTCTTATGCTGATTGGAGGTTGCTAGGGGGKTTGCTATGGGTCCTCACCTAGCCTAACTGAGTCAGGGACACCTGGCGCCACAGACCTCTCCTGTTATTTACAGACAAATAACTCAGCAGGGTGGGTTTGTACTTARGAGTGCTCTGTGAGTTTTTCCAAGGACAAGGGTCGGGCCCCCTTCCTTAGGACAGGACTTGAGGTAGAAGCTGGTGTTATTTATTTATTTTTTAAAAATGGAGCCACATTAATTTCTCAGAAACTGCCTGTATTATATAAAGGTTTAGAAACAGTCATATATGACTTTTTTAAAAGAAAGTTCAAAATAACATGACATAGCTATTTATTTGCCCCAATATTCTGAAGCACTAATTCATTAAATGGAATTGAAAATGATCATTTGTCAGTTATATAGTACCTCTACCACAGTATCCTAGACCTTTATTCTCACCTTTTCAAATTCTAAATTTGTGATAGTGTCTTTGGGGTTTGTATAAGTAAAAAATGATAACAGCTAGTTTCCTTTTTTTTTATMACACATTCTCATGCCTAGCTGGCAACTTAATAGCAACTAACTAAAGTAACACAAGTGGTGAAATGAACTCTGACTGAATGCTAAAACTAGAAACCCACAATGAGCCCATAATACCTGTCTTTCAAATTATCATAGTGGAACAGCTAACATGCATATTTACTGCTACCATACTACTAGATTTTCCATTTCAGGTTTGATCCTAAAACTTTTGTTTCACTATCTGTAAGTCAAAAAGCATAGATGGATCTGTTTGTCAAACCTAAATTCCAACTGTTATACTGAAGCCAGAATTAAATAGGCAGTCAGTATAGACAGGTAAATCGAGTCAGGCCAATTTTGAGTGAGTCCAACAAGTTGKAGACTGTCCAAGGATTGAAATGTTAGTTCCCTCAGAGCCCTTCCTCCACCCTTATCAAGAACCTGCTCCTGCTCCAACCTGTTGCCAAGGTAACCTGTCCCAGGAGTTGCCCCTCCCTACAGGGAGCTATAAGGTTGTTAATGTGTCCTTGGCTACTCCATCCTGYCCTTCCCCCTTCAGCCTACAGGTTTCCCACCTTTGGGCTGTCCCACCTAGCATTCCTGGGCCTAGTCCTGAGCCTAGTCAAGTATGCAGGAAGGAGAAAGATAAGGGGGGAAAGGCAGGAGACCAGAGGAAGCCTAGGACATATAAAAAGGGCAGAAGACCTCACTTCTTGGGATACCAGAATACCCCCTATGGCCTATGGCCCCCTTCTCCCTCCAGGGAGAAGTCTGTTACTCCTTTTTAAATAAACCTTTTAAAATATGTTTGCCTGGGCATGCTTCTCTAATGTTCAAATTTAAACATTTGAGGGAGCAGAACTAGTCACTGGTAACTGGCAGTATCAATACTACCATCGTTTAAGTGACTTTGGGAAAGTTAGGTAAACTATGGGAACTTCAGGATCTTTATCCAAGGTGAACATACACCCATTACGTGGCCCAGTGTTTGATCTTGATCTCTAAACCTGTTAGTCAGGCTTTGGGCACCAAATAGTTCTGGAACTTTGGGAAGTCATCCAATGAACCCATTTCCTCATATACAAAGAAGCAATATAAATTTTGTTCCTTCACAACCTTATTTTGAACATATGAAAATAATAGACGTCAAGGGCTTTATAAACTCCTGGTTAGGAAACATTTCCAATTCCCCTTCTATCSTGACGGGGCAAAATTGTGACAAATGTAGTCGAGGGGGAGAAATAAAGAATGTCCACGCATTTCTGCCCCTTTTAATGCTTTATTCACTCAAATTACTCAATACAATTTCACACGATAGGTTTTTTTTTTTAAATGTAATACTGTTTATTTAACTTCAAAAACATTTCAGCATTCTAAACATACAAAAAATAACATAACATTGCAAATTGCATTTAAGTACAGAAGGTTCTTGAACTTTCATTGATGCAGTGGCTCTTTGCTGACAATGAAGAGTTCTACAGTTTGTTTGAAAACAAAGTTTAAAATCTACCGTACTCAACTAAAAAAAATTCAAACACTTCTCATGCCAGCTGACCCCCCTTTTTCCACAACTAAGAAAGGCAGCAGAATGCTATATCACTATATACAAAAACAAGACAACCTAAAGCTAAATGGATGCCCACTGCAGTGTCAACAGGTCCAGCCTTGTAGTGCAGGCCCTGAGCTACAGCCCCTCCAAAAGGCATCTTCCCCCCACAGCCTCAACGCCAAGCAAGGAGCATCAAGAGTTTGTCTCAGTTGTTTTGTTCTTTTTACAGACTATAGATATGTACAGTTGATAACTGAGGATTTCTAGCCAATAACCATATAGTTAACACCACCTTACAAATTAAAAAAAAAAAATACCAGAAACATCTTCAAATGCCTTGTCACACCAACAGCAAAGTGCACAGAGTGAGGAGTACACAAGAGTGCCTTTTCATTTTAAAAATGTTTGGAAATCTGTACAACTTTGATACAGTTTTAGAGTGCTCTGGACACCCAGGGCCACTTCATGCAAACCACTGACAATTTCTAGAGCACTTTGAAAGACTACAATATGATCGTGATCAAATTCTGAAATTAAACTTAATGAGAGTAACAGACACATCTCAAATAAGATGTGTCAATCATGGCGTTCCCCTGCTCTAAGGTATTCATAAGAAGACAGGTAAACAGTTTTTTATTCATCCTCCTCCTCCTCTTCTTCTTCTTCCTCCTCTTCTTCCTCTTCCTCTTCCACTTTTTTCCGGGCAACTTTAGCAGGACCCTTTGTGCCATCAAACTTTCCTTTAGACTTATAGTCAGCAACATCCATCTCGTATTTCTCCTTTAGCTTTGCAGCCTTAGTGATGTATGGCTGCTTTTCACTTTCACTTAAGTTATTCCACATCTCACCCAGATTTTTTGCCACATCTCCAATGGAGATACCAGGATTTGTGGACTTGATCTTGGGGCGGAATTCTGAACAGAACAAGAAGAATCCAGATGGTGGTCTTTGGGGGCATTAGGGTCCTTTTTCTTCTTGCCTCCCTTAGCTGGTCCATAGTCCTTCATTTTCCGATCATAGCGTACTTCATCTGCCTTTGCCATTTCATCAAATTTAGATTTCTCTTTCCCAGACATTGTCTTCCACCTCTCAGACCACTTCTTGGAAAATTCTGCAAAATTGACAGGGACTTCTGGATTTTTCTTCTTATGTTCTTCTCTGCAAGTCTGCACAACGAAGGCGTAAGCAGACAGCTTGCCCCTTGGTTTCTTGGGGTCACATTTAGCCATCCTGACTGTATTGTTCGCTAGTCTGGGCAGCGCAGGGCACAACTCTCGGCTCAGCACTCCCTAGCCTCCTGCTAGCTGCCTCCACGAGAGCCGACACTATAGGTTCTTAATCAAGAAAACGACAATCCTTAAGGCTAGGCACTGCAATGGACATAATTCACAGCAAACAATTCTAGATTAATTAATTCACTGAAAATAATTCTAGATTAATTCTAAGCACTGCAAACACACTTAACCATGACAGGCTAATGACAGACATTCCCTCTGCATGTTAAATTCAAAAGTCTTAAGCCTTAGGCTTTATGTCCAGCAGATGCACACTCACTCAGGCCACGGTGATCAGATCTGGAACTAAGGTAGGCTTTTCCTGGTATGGAGTGGATGACTGGTTGAGGAGAGGGCGGTATGGAGAAGTTATGGCTCTCACCAAGGTCCAGACGAGGCGGTAGAGTTTGAGAGCCATGAAGACCACACAGAGGATCAAGAAATGATGACAAGTGATGAGATGTCAGGTCCTCATTAGGCTCTCCAGCTCCAGTACATCCTTGTTTCAGCTGGTGAAATCCCTTTTCATTAACTCTATTATTTACACTAAATTTTGGGGCTTTTGAACCCCCTTTCAATCCATATCAGCTTCCACCATATTTCTCCATGACACCATTTACCCTGGGGTCAGAAACATCTGGTCTGGTGGTCTCTACCCTGATCTTTTCCCCTTTCCCTCTTGTCAGGCTAGGACAGCCTGCCAGAGACTTCACTCTGTTTATCAGGGAGAGGGGAAGTAATGTGTTTGTGGTCTTACTGGAGGGATCTGTTGGCTGTGCCTGGTGACACTGCAGGTTTCAAATTGGAGTTTTTGAAATGGAGTTGCTTAGGCTCAGGCCTAAGGCCATCTTCACAGCTTCCCAAGCTCCCAATATATTGAAAAGTATTTATTCTGAGTATAAAATCAATATTTGGCCGGGCATGGTGGCACATGCTTGTAATCCCAGTGACTTGGGAGGCTGAGGCAGCAGGATCATGAGTTCAAAACCAGCCTCAGCAATTTATCGAGACCCTGTCTCTAAATAAAATACAAGAAAGGGCTGGGATGTGGCTCCATGATAAGGCACTCCTGGGTTCAATCCCTGGTACCAAAAAAGGAAAAAAAAAAAAAAAACATTAAAAAAAAAGCAATATCTGCCTGCTTTATTCACAACTCGGAAAACTTTAAAAATATACATCTGGTAATGAAAATTATATATATTTCCATGATTAAGTGGAATATTAAAAAGCAAAAATGTTTTCTATTATGGAATAGTTCCATCTTATACCAAAGTATAGCATTATGAACGCTCCAATTCCCTAGCTTCAACAATTATTAATCTTATTTCATCAAATCCGGCTTCTCATTTAAAATTATTTYGGAGTAAATCCTCACACATTTTGTAATCATTTCATCTGTAAATATGTATCTTCAAAACATAGGATCTTTACTACTATCATAGACTTAAAATTTAACTGTAACTTCTATGTATCATCAAATATCCAGTATTCGGATATTCTCGATAATCTCGGGGGTTTGTACTTTTTAAAATGATCATCATCATCATCATCATCATCATCACAAGCTTATCCTTCCAGGGCGCAGCGATTCCCGCTCCCCAACCATAAGGTTCCACCAGCTACAGAGCCAGAGCGCACGCAGAACAACGTGTGGACACGGAGGCCAGCGGAACCAAAGTCGCCCATCTCCTGCGGGCTGAGGAGGGAGCTCTTTGCATATTGCACTAAGGGCAGTCCGCACAAACGCCATTGGCAGCAGGTACCGGAAGCGGTCGCAAGTTTCCAGCTCTGGCAAAGGTTCTTCTCGAGACGTGCTGAGGTGCAGCGTGCGCGGTTTCCCTCTGGACCGGAGCCGAAAGGAATTGGGACCGTGGCAGAGATGGAACGCCACGTGGAAGGCCGCACGGCGAGCTCACTGTTCGCTGGATTCCGAGCCCTGGGGCTTTTTAGTAATGATATCCCGCACGTGGTGCGGTTCAGTTCGCTGAAGCGCCGGTTCTACGTTACGACCTGCGTGGGCAAGAGCTTCCACACGTATGACGTGAGTGATTTCTTTGCCGGTTTCCCGAGAACTACCCTCCTCGGCTCCCAGCTCTGTCCTGGGGCATTCCCGCTCTCCCCTCCCACCCAACGAGGATTTCCCTTTCTGCYCTTCTTTTCCGTAACCCCACCCAGTTCTATTTAGCCACCCTCATTGAACCCTGGTGCCGCTGCTTTAGCTCTTGCAGTTCGGAGGGAACCTGGCTAAGGAATGAATACTTGAGAATGTCTCAGTGTTAAAGTATCATATTTGTTTAGTAGATAATTATTGATCCTCCCAGAGGATGCGAACATGAATAAGATAAGCCCTTAGACGACTCGCTAGACACTTATTGTGTAACTGACGACACAAACTGGGTTAGAAATCCGGACTGAAATACATTTAGGAGGACTGGAAGGGTGAGTTGATGATTTAAGGGACTCTTCACATTCGATGGCAATCCAGTTTCCCCGAACTTCCCCTGAGCATCTGTTTTCAACCAACTTTGAATATCTGGCGCCGTTTCACTCTAAGCTTTGCAGCAATTTCTTTGCAAGGTAGTTTTTTACTAATTTTGTAGCACCCTTATATAACTTAGGAAAGTAAGTATTAGGAAACTAAAGTTACATGCTGCTTATTAATGATGGATTCCCCCTTCCCCAAATTTACCACTAATTGAAATAGTATTTTGTTGTTCTTTCTCTTGTCTTCTCCAAAATAATGTAAGTTGTGTGGAAAGCAGGAATATGATGAAGGTGGTAATAGCCAAGGTTATTAAGCACTTTTTCTGGAAAGCATGGTGTAGAGTTGTTTTCCTTGAAGAACTGTGAAAATTAAAGAGGTTATTAACAAGAAGAGTGGGAATTGGGAGCTAGTTGAGTAAATGTAAAAAGAAAAGAAGGATGGGGTGAGGTGAAGAGAGTTGGGTTTCTGGAAGCCTGGGATGGTGATGGAGAAAGTTGGGTCAGAATGACATAAATCATGTGGGAGTATTTATTGATACCATTCTTCCCACTTCTTTCTTACTTGCCAATTTTTGGTTTTGCTAAAGTTTTCCTCCCTGAAACATAACTTTTGTAATTTTCTCATTTAAAGAAAACTTTTTCCACCTTTAGAGTAAAAATTTAATGAGCACATTTTTATTTAAATAAATCCTCTAGTAAATAAATGGATAATTTTACTGCCTTTATTGTGTAAATGGTTATGTCAAATTTATATTTGTAGCTTGCCAACATTCCTTTTTCCACATCACTGTACCCAGAAAGACTTAAAAGTCTCAAAATTCTGTATCTCCTTTTGAAATCATATGTTTGGTACAGTGTCTTTCCTGACATTTTGTTAAGCACAAACACATCCCCCGCCCCTTCCAAAGAAATCCTATTGTTAGGAGAGTAACATCTTTAACATTTTATAAAAAAATTTACTATTATTTGCACATTGAAATTTAGTCATAAAAATGTGTTTTAAGATGTCCTTTAGATCTTGTGATGCTTTCTTTGGAGGCGGGTGGGGATGATACATTTTTTTAAATTTCTGTAAAATGGCATAAAATGCTTATTACCTGAGGACTCTGTGTTTGTTACACCAACCAATTTTCTGGGCTATGATCTCTGAAACTAAAAATAACTTGGGGTAAACACAATGGCACTAATGATCCCAAGTCATTAACTTGTTCTTCAAGGGCTCTCTCCTATGGCCATTGTTGTATTACTGCCCATTGTGAGACATCCTGCATATAAGCATTTGTACCTGGACAATAGACAAGGTAAAAATAGCTGTTGATGTTGGTAATACCAGCTAACATTGAGCATTTACTACATGACTGCTGTACTCTGTTTTACATAAATTTGTTTGCAAAATTGAATTTTCATAATCCCATAAAGTAGGTACATATCTTAATCCATATTTGGAATCCATATAAGGAATTTGAGGCACAGGGAAGATGAGTAACTTTCCTCAGGTCATACAGATGAATTAGTAACCATATATTGGAATTAGCAAATTAGTCTCTAAGCCAATTCAGTCCACTATTTGTTTCTGCATGACCCATGAGTTATGAGTGGTTTTGTTATTTTTTCTAAAGAGTAGAGGGAAAAATCACATTATTTCAGGATGTGAGAACCAAATAAAAGTACCTACAGATAAAAGTTTATTGAATATACCCATGTATATTTATTATGTCCGCTTTCCTGCAACAGTATAAGAATTGGGTCAGTACAACACAGACTTTATGACTTGCTAATCCTAAAACATTTACTCTTTGGCTCACTACAGAAACCCTTTGCCTACTTCCATCACCACTGTTGGTGAAATAGTTGAAAATATAACTTTCCTGATAATGAAATTTAGGGTCAGTGAGTATCTTTTCTAGGAGGGACAGCATAGCAGATTTACCTATGAGGTTGTAGCTTAATCTTAAGGTGTTAGGTTATTATAAAATTGTTTTCCTTATGAAAACTTAATCTTTTTTTTTTTTTAACAGGTTCAGAAACTTAGTCTGGTTGCAGTAAGTAAGTGTGAATTTTATTCTGAATTTATGGTGGCTTAGTATCTTTAAAATTTTTTTGACATAAGTTTAAGGCTTCTGGAATATGTAAAGAATCCAGTGTGTGTGTCTAATAAACCTCTATAGGGGGCAAAAAAAAMCAAAAAAACAAAAAACTGTGACACTATCATCACTATCATGTTTTGCTTTCAGTTGTCACATGATTTATTTATTTATTTATTTGGAGTAGTTCTTCAGCATTTCTTTGTATTTTACCACATTGTGATTAATTCTTTTGTAGAATAACCTTCAGTTTGAGTTTTTCTGATACTTCTTTATAGTTAGATTCAGTATTTTGACAGGAGTAACAAAGAAATGATGCTGAATTCTCAGTGAATTTTATAAGTAGGCACATGCTATTCCTGGCAGTGATAACTTTGATTGTTAAGGTGATATCTGTCAGGATGCTGTGTTTTAAAGTTACTAGTTTGTCCTTTGTAGTTAATAAGTATTTTGTAATATGATGCATTCAGACTCTGTAAATATGCTATTGCTCTTCAAAGTTTCACCTGCTGCATTTAGTCAGCATTTAATGATGAGACTTGCCTGAATYTCAGTTAGTGATATGATGGTTATTAAATAGTCGTTTTGTTTTTTCTATCATTCCTTCTACTGTAAGGAAGAGTCTCATTTGGATATTTTTTTCAATGGGGGTGGTATTTATTTTTCTAAGAACTGTTTAATAGCATAAAAGGCCTGCCAGAGCTAACAGGTACTAATTTTACCTTAAAATGTGATCCTTGTAAGAGAAATACATTGTGTATGTCTGAAAAACAATTTTTAAAAGATTAGAAGACAGAAGACAGAATAACCTAAATTGAATACAAAAGTGAATGTTAAACCTATAGAAATAGTATTATGGAAACTAAATCCCCAAGTGGAGTATGCACATAAAAAATACTTACGCTCATCTTCTGTCTACTCATCTCCCTGACCCCAAAAGAGAAAGAAAAGGGGGCACCATGATTTTATTAGTGAGAAATGAATCAAGAAATCACGTCCCATAAGAAATGGCTAGAGGTAATAAGCATATTTACCTTGGAGATAACCGAGTAGAAACTGTATCGTCTTTAATTATTTTAAGGCTCAACATAAAGAGTATATATGGAGTTCTTTGGGGTTGGTCTAAAGGGTTGAGTTTGATCTGAGTTTTAATTTAGTTTTATATTTTTCCTGAAGTTACTAATAAACTCTCTGTTCTTGAAGGTGTTCATAAGCGGGCCAGATACCCATCTGTCAGTTCCATGTATTAAATGATGTTTTTTTTTTCCAAATACTTCACAAAGCTTCTTTTTATCTATTTATTTAGCATTATGTTGTTATGTTTGCAAATCTTAATGTTTACAACAGTCAATATTGAGATTAAAATTTTATACTGATTCTCAGCTTTCTTTCTTTTTTTAAATACCTTTATTTATTTATTTATTTTTATGTGGTCCTGAGGATCGAACCCAGGATCTGGCACATGCTAGGCGAGCACTCTACTACTGAGCCACAACCTCAGCCCTCAGCTTTCTTTTTTATTAAATATATTTTTAATTATTATATCCATTAAAAATATTATATGTATATTGATGGTTTCTATTACAAGATCTTAAAATTGTATTTCTTTTATGTTTTAGGTAACTCTGTTCCACAGGATATCTGCTGTATGGCAGCTGATGGGAGGCTAGTTTTCGCTGCTTATGGGAATATTTTTTCTGCATTTGCCCGTAATAAAGAGGTTTGTATCACTGAACTATTTCAATTTGTACCATTTTTTTTCTTTCTAATGTATGCTCAGTTTTATAGAGGAAGAGAAAATTTGATTTCACCTTTATATGTGTATTTATAAATACACATATGTATGTGGTCCATATGGAGACACTTTAATGAAGGAACTCTGCTTACAGGTATGGGCTGGGTTGGGGGAACAACATAGGGGGAGGAATGCATCAAAGGCTATAAACTTGGGGAAGCTGTTACCAATCCTCCGGCCAAAGGGCAGAAGAAGTAGTGTTATCGAAGCCTGGTGAAAGCTGAAACTATGGAGAAGGCGATGTAGTGATGGAGGGATAAGTTACTGTGAGGTCAGTGCCTCTGTGTCAAAACAGGAAGGTAAAGCAAAGAAGTACTTTATATTCCCCTTTCTCATCTTATCTGGAAGGCAGTTGGTGATGGAATCTTAGAGGTCAGCCTTCTAGAAATACCATTTTTTTTAGTATAAACGGAATTACAATGGTCGAATCAGCAAGGGATCTAGGTATATATGCATACCTTTTTCCTAAACTCAGTAGGGAGGCTAAGCCCTAGAGTTCTCATTTTTATGTTCTTAGTCCATGCTTTATTTCCTTATTGAACTGGCTAAGCAGGTGAACGTGTCTAACTCCTTAATATTTGTTCATATAATCTTGTATGCTAAAAAATTGGACTACATTCTTAACATGAATGTTTTTAGGATTAGAAAGCCTTTTTTGGATAATATTACTTGATGAATGACTATTAATATGAAATTATTTTAAACTTTATAGATAGTACATACCTTTAAGGGTCATAAGGCAGAAATCCATCTTTTGCAACCTTTTGGGGATCACATTATCTCTGTTGATACTGACAGCGTTCTTATTATTTGGCATGTATATTCAGAAGGTAAGAATTAATAATTTATTTGTTTTGTCTTGGGATTGTATGTGTATAGTTAAAAATCTATGTGAACATAACTTCTACACCAGAGGTTTCACATGCAAAACAGTCAAAATAAATAAACAAAATAAAAAAATTAACATGTATAAGAGAAAACATTCTAAATAAGAAGTAAATAAGCAGTTTTTGTCAGTTGGTTAACTACTTACAACTTGTTTAATGTGCTAATTTCAACTAATATATTTTCCATTGCTGTTCTTTAAAATTAGTGACTTGTTTTCTCTGTAGAATGGATTTTGATGTATGTTCATACCTACTATTTTTATCTTTCAAAAGGAGATGCTAATAGTAAACTTGAAGAATCTGTAAATAAGAAGGAAAATATACATYTTTTTTTAACTTCTTTACTCTGTTTACATTTTTAACTTATATATGTCTTGATTATCTATTGTTCAATGCAGTATTCTTATTTTTAGTCAACATTTTAGAGGTTGCCTTCTGGGAGTTATTCTGTATTCTCATACAAATTGCTAATGCTTTTCTTTGTTTAATCTTTGCTCAAGTAGGGGTAACAGAATTCCAAAAGTGCTCCCTTCAAGGTTAGATTTTAAAAAGCTTTATAAAGTTATAAGATCTGGCCTAGATTTATAAAGTTATAAGATCTGGCCTAGATTTTTTGTTGCTTTTAGAACAATACATTGACCTGGAGTTTTCAGGGAGCTATTTGTAGTGAGACAAGGATCTTTTAAAATAGTATTCAAAGTAAAGTTTGTATACTTTTCACCTATATCTGTGCATTCTAACCTGGGGTATACATACTTCTGGGAGTATGAAGTACACCTTCAGTATTCAAATTTATTGGTAAACTTTTGAAAAAAAAATTGTTTCAGTACTGAACAAATTTTGAAGTGAAAAACAGAATTTAAACTGTAATTTTAATTATAATAAATGTAAGATTTTAAAGAAGTTTCTGATCTTGCAGCAAGTAACTACCTGCTGGGSTACCTTCAAGGGTGGATATTAAAAAGCTTTATAAAGTTATAAGATCTAGCTCATAAAGTCTCAGGCACTCTTTTGATGCTGATGCCTAGATTTTTTGTTGCTGTTAGAACAACACATTGACCTGGGTTTTTAAGTTCCCAGTGTTTTAAGTTCTTTTCATCTCCTGAGTTAGAGTCTTCTGAAGAAATGTGTGAGAAGCACTGTTTTTGGTTTCACTAAACTTCACCTCTTTTCACATCTTCTAAGTAGCTCGTTGAACTTCCCAGATATTTGGCTCTTCACTTGGAGCATTCACTTCTGCCTCTTGATCAGATTATAAAAATATTAATGTTGATCCCTATGATCATTTTTTAATCCTGTTTTCTTTCCTGTAAACCAATTTAAGTAGTGAAACTTCTAATAGTATTTATGGTAGAACTTGTAGGTAATATTGACAGCCTAAATGACATTTACAAGTTGCCCCTATCACATTTATCTTGGTTCTTGGGGGTTATTTATAGGTTAGTTTATATGTCTGATTTATATTAGCATAGAAGTCTCTGTGGTAAACTTACTTTAAATGGTAAATATATGGGTATATGAAATAAGTGTCAAACTATTTTATAAAAAAATAATTATATGTTATTTGTAACTTTCACTTTTTGTAGAAGAATACCTACAATTGACTTTCGATAAATCAGTTTTTAAAATTTCTGCGATTTTGCATCCAAGTACCTACTTGAACAAAATACTTCTGGGCAGTGAACAAGGAAGTCTGCAGTTGTGGAATGTAAAATCCAAGTAAGCACTTTACTTAAATAAATAATGTACTTCTCATCTTATCCGCATCTACTACTTTCTTCTTCCTATTTATTTATTTATTGGTTCTGGGGATTTAACCCAGGGGTGCTTTACCCTTGAGTCACACCTAGCCCTTTTTACTTTTTATTTTGAGGCAGGGTCCAAGTTGAGGAAGCTGGCTTTAAACTGGGGATTCTCCTGTCTCAGCTTCCTGAGTTGCTGGTATTATACGTGTGTACCACCATGCCCAGCTTCCTAAAGCATTCTGCATCTTTCAGTTCTCTCTGCCCTTATATGTTTATTTGGAGGGCTGACAATAAATATGGCTGTGAGAAGTTATCACTTAATGCCATCACATATTTGAAAAGTGTCATGTGGTCCTGGCACAAAATAAGCAACTTCCTAAATTCACATTGAATAGTCTAAACTATTGACTCAGTAWCTAGTCAATAGAAAGAATCCATATAGCTATCCAGACAGCTTTATAAAGTAATATTATGAGATTAGCATTAGATAGCTTCTAGATTTTTATAAATGAAGGAAAGAGATGGCAAAACAAATTCGTGTTAATTTAGTGCTACCATTTAGAAATGATTTCAAGGGAAAAAAAAGTACTTTGATCAACAACCACCAGTATAATGAATATTTATTATAATGTTATTAATATAACTGGAAGGCTACATTAATGATTTTAAATACCTCTTCTTGTTACTTGAACATTTATCTAGAGAGAAAAGGCTAACTCAAGTTTTGTATAATGTTAAAACAAGCAAACAAAAATATTTAACTACCTAAATTATTCTTTCCAAAGCCCTTGTAAATTTGAAAGGGAAGGTTGTTTAGTTTTGAATCAATATTTCAGTTCAGTGGCAGATACCGCTGACTGCCAACTCTGTGCTATGCTCAGGGATGTTGACTGAGATGCTGTCTCTGCTTTTAAGGTTCTTTTCTTAGGCTCTTTGTGATGTTTACATTCTTTGTGTACTTTATCCATTATGTAATTATTGCAGAGACTAATTTGTGCCCATTTGCAGAATTTAATATATAATTTAATATTTTAATGACTAGTATTAAAATGATTTCAGATAGCTCTGCTCCATAGACTGACTTAATCATTCATGGTCTGATTCACAATATGAGAGCAGCATAACTGTTTCCATAAGACAGTTCATATAACATTCAAGTACTATTTTAGTTAAAAATCTAATTATTCCCTTTAGTGATGATATTTCTAGAAATATATTTCAGTAAAAAAAAAAAATGAGATCTGCCTATATTCCAAGATTTATTGTCTAGATAAAATGGATTTTACTCACATATTTTTTCTTCTACTCAAACATTTAAATTTTTTAATGAGGTGGCTTTGCATAGTAATTTGCAGATTGGGAGTCTAGAACCTGCATACACACACTCTTTTTTTTTTTTTTTTTTTAACTCTTTAACTACATGACCTTAATTATTTAGCACTTTTTTTTTTTTTAAGTTTCTTTTTCTGGAAAAAAGGTGATAATATTTACTTCATGTGATTATTTTGAGTATTGAACATGGTAATATGTTCTCAGAATAATGTGGGATGAAGAATTTAATAAATACTACTGTTACTAGTTTACTTTTAAATATATAGTCAATAGTCGATTTTGTTTTTCTCTTCCACCTGCAAAAAACAAAAACAAAAAAACCCTAGCTTTCAACTCTTTTTTTTTTTTTTTTGTAGTAAGCTTCTGTATACATTTCCAGGATGGAAGGTTGGAGTGACTGCTCTTCAGCAGGTTAGTAATTTTTAGTTAAACCAAATAGTAGATTCATTTAGTTTCAGGGATCAGCCTGTTTTTAGACCTTAAGACAAAATAATATAGTTTATAACTAACTGTTCCACTAAGGAAATAATGTTTTAGAAGTACACTGACAATAAGGAGTAACACGTTTGCCATTTAGAATTAGGCTCTAAACCTGTGGTTATTGTGGGACCTTGTTTACTAATTATTTTGCAAGCATGTAGTATAGAGCTTTATAGAGAACAGAAATTAGTTGTTCATTGATGCAAAGGAGACTATAGGTTTTACAGAGAAATTTATCAGGATGTTGAGATTTCCTATTTGAAATAGTTGGGGACAAAAATCCTAAAGATTTTTTCATTGGTAGACTTAGAAAATTGCTTTTCATTTTTATGAGTCAGCAAAACATATGTATATGAATGAATGTATGTCTATAGAAAATCTGGTGAGTCTGTTGGTTACACATGTAGCCATTATTCCTGATCTTTCTAATATTCATTGCCCATTTTATTTGCACTCCCTCATCCCCTCTCACTGTCATCAACCATGCTCTGCCACACCTATCCATTATAAGACAGAATTATAGTCATAGAATGTTATGGCTGGAGAAGATTATAAAACATTTTTTTGCCTTTTAGTGTATTTTACAGGCTTTTCCTGTTTACTATGGATAAACAATTCTTTACTTCCTTTCCAGTTACATGTGTTGCCATACTTATGACAAGCCTTCATATATTTTCTAGGAGGTCTTTTTCTCTTTCACCTAGTCAGTGATTTGTTGTGATTGCACATGTAAACTTTTCTTTCTGTRTGACTTTTTCTTAACAAGACTGTTTTGTTCTAACAGTTGAGAGGGGAATTGACTGGCAAAATTTAAACTGGGAAGTAATTTGGAAAAATCGTTCCTAAATACTTCCATTTGAATAGCAGTTAATATTAACTCTTAGCATTAGTTAATAATAGCCAGAATGGTAATACTTGTGGATTTCCCCCTGCACACCTTTAAGAAGATACTTCATTTTCTCTCATATTAACACATAAATAATAGTGTTGATCATAAAGATTGTAAGGCTGTGTTGCTTAAGAAAATAGAAACTTATGAGTAATTTAATTTTCAGGCACCAGCTGTGGATGTTGTTGCTGTTGGTCTTATGTCAGGTCAGGTTATCATTCACAACATTAAGTTTGATGAAACATTAATGAAGTTTCGTCAAGACTGGGGACCCATAACTTCGATTTCATTTCGCACAGGTAATCTTTACCATATTTATTCATGAGAGTTAAGAACACCTGAAATGCTTTACTTTAAAATCACAGAAATTGTTTTCTTATAGTTTAATAAGTATTAATGAAACACCAAAGTAGAACAAGGCAAAAAATATGGGAAGACTAATAGTGTATAGTTTTAACTTTATAAACTAAAAGGGAGAGAAATTTGTCAAGTTTACTTGTTTTGGGGCTTGTGTTTTTTAACATATATTTTATTTTAATAACAGATGGTCATCCAATAATGGCAGCTGGAAGCCCATGTGGCCATATTGGACTTTGGGATCTAGAAGACAAAAAATTAATCAATCAAATGAGAAATGCACACTCTACAGCAATTGCTGGACTGACATTTCTCCATAGAGAACCTCTTCTTGTCACAAATGGTGCTGACAATGCTCTCAGGGTATTATGATTATTTTTGTCATTTTTCTGGTTCATCTGGCCTACCTTTTTGGTTATTACAAGCTTGCTTTTTAATGTATTAGTACCAAAATTAGAAGATGAAAGGAATATGGGATGAAACATTGTTATAGATAAATAAAAAGTATAGCAGATGACATTGCAATGAAGTGGGAAAGAGTTACAGCTTATTTCTTTCCCAATCCCCACTTCAGGGTCAGTGGCCTGCCTGACTGCAGATCAGAGAGCACATGGTGTAAGAACCTTACTATTTAATTTCTTGGCAGATATGGATATTTGATGGCCCCACAGGTGAAGGCCGACTTTTGAGATTCAGAATGGGCCATAGTGCTCCTCTTACCAGGATCAGATACTATGGACAAAATGGACAACAAATTCTAAGTGCAAGTGAGTTTCTATTTTGTACCCATAGTACTTAAGTAGGTATTGAGAGCTGGACGCATTTTTAGATTGTAATTTCTCTTTAAAATGTGCCAAACCATAACACTAAGCTTTTTGTAGAATCTAATTTTATAACCTCTGTGATTCAAATGGCTTATTGTTTTGATGGAGCTTGATGAGGAATTTTCTTTTTATATCAATAGGTCAAGATGGAACTCTTCAGTCATTTTCCACGGTACATGAAAAATTCAATAAGAGTTTGGGACATGGTAGGTCATTTGCAATATAGAATAGAAGTTGCTAGTCACAAAAGAAACTGCAAGATTCTGGGAGAACTGGAGGAGGTTTCATCAATATATTTCCTCTGTTTTGGATAAAATTAAAACCTTATGGAGGAGAAACTATTAAGATGCTAAGATCAAAATCACTGTAGAAGTGTTTGGGGTACTGCTTACTATAAATCTGTTAAAAAATGTTAGGCATCTTGGGTGATAAAACATACTCTTGCCACCCAAAAAACATAGCCTAATGTGATCCATCTGTAGAGTGCAGAATTTAAATTATGGGAACAATTTTAAAGAAAGCATCAAAATAAATAGCATCTCATCTTTTTGCTTTAAAGGGCTCCTTTATTCTCTTCCTGGTTTCCAGCTTTTGAGAGGTTTCTTAAACAAAAATGTTTTTTAGTTTCATTAATGTTTATTTTTTTAAGTAAATGTTCTAGCTATTCATAAAAGTGTGTACTTCCAGGTAACTTATAGGATTCTTTTTTAATTGATAATCTAAAATAGTTCCTTTTGGAATTAAATTGGAGAGATTTGATATCTTTAAGAATCTTCTCATCCAGCAATGTGATATATCRTTATTTGTGTTGGTTCTATCACATTATTGGCAAATAATATGATTACCTCATTTTTTCAGTTATTTATACCTTATAATTTGCTTTTGCATCTTAATTACACAAACTTCAGAAACAAATAATATTGATAATAACAGTACCCTTGTTGTGCTCCTGACTTAAATGAGAACATCTTGAACTTTATAGTTATGTGACAGTGAAGAACATTTTTTTCCCCCATGAAGAAAGATTCATAACTATGATTCCCTCTTCCCCAACCCCAGGATTAATTAATAAAAAGAGACTCAAGCGTAAAGGACTTCAGAATACCATGTCAGTAAGACTTCCACCTATCACAAAGTTTGCAGCTGGTAAATAACTTCTATTGTTTTGTACTTCATTATTTCCTCCATTTAAAAAAAAATATATGTTTGCAAATTCTAATAAATGTTCAGAGGGTAACCTTAAGCATGTACTAATCTTGTGTGAAGATTGAAAATGAGTTAATTTTAACATGAACTTATTTTTTAAATCTCAGGTTTTGTTCTTCTCTATACCAGCTATTAATAAATAATATTTTATAGCCCTTCTTTTTATCCTATCATCTGGTATAATGAAAGTCACTAATGTAGAAATTTATAACAGAGAGCAAATGTGAAAAGATGTGGCCATGACCAATCAAGATCTAAGTACAATAGTAGTATACCATATCATAGAGCAGAACTTCTTCAGAAGAAAAGCGTTTAAGAAAAGTATACATATATAATGGGATGATTGAGTGAAAACTATCAGGAAATAACTACATAGGCACCATTTCTATATTATGGTTATTGTTTCAAGGTTATTATAACAACCTGATCACTACTTTGGTTTTTTGATCACCTTTCTATTTGCCTTCAGCCTAAGTGATGTTTCTAAAACATATAGCTGACTCATGTCATGTTCTTAAAATCTTTTCGTGCCCTTTATTACCTTTAGGTAGACTTTTGCCTCTTTAACTTTCAATATCCTTGTAATGTGGCCCCAGTTGCCTTGTCCTCTCGCCTCTCCCAGGAACACATTTCACTTACTTGCCATCCTTGGTTTTGCTCAACTAGTCTTGGGCCTTTTGTCTATAGGACTCCGCCTACCTCTGTACTAGAAGTTTTATTTGTTTATTGCTCCTTCCAGGAAGCCAGGAGAGTTTTACTCTCCCAAAATCTCCCAGTAAAACTCTTCCTGAGTGCTCATATAAAATAGTCATGCAATTATGCTTTCTCATTCTTTCTTCTAATCAAAATCTGTTAGTAGATATTGTCAGTTAATTTGATTTAGCCATTCAACAATGTTATAAGGTRTCAAAACACATTGAACACCATAAGTATGTACAGTTTTTATCAGTTAACCTGTTAGATAGGAAGCTCTTTCCAGAGATAGCCTGTTTATTTTACCATTGTATCCCTAGTACCAGATATTAAGGTAGAATATTAGATACTTAATTAATAATAGATGAGCAAATGAGTGAGATGATAAAAAGCACTTTGATTTATGATTTTAATTATGTTTAGAGGAAGCTCGAGAGAGTGACTGGGATGGTATCATTGCTTGCCATCAAGGTAAGCTATCTTGCTCAACCTGGAATTATCAAAGGTCTACAATAGGTGCTTACTTTCTCAAGCCAAAAGAATTGAAGAAAGATGACATCACTGCAACAGTAAGTGAGCTCTTTTATTAAAATCTTTTCTCCTTTAAAACTTAYGTGGTAATTTTATTATACTCAAGTTTACTAGTGATATTGTTGGAAAGAACATGTTTTACCATTTTGAAGTTGTTCTCTAATATTGTAAAGTTTTTCAGCTTGCAGAAATTTATTTAGCTACTTGAGGTAGTATCTCTGTGTGGTTTTGATTTGCATTCTTCTGAGGAGGTATAGTGTTGCATCGTTTCACGTAGTCATGGGTCATCTCTAGATATGTCTTTATAACGGTGCTTTGTCTGTCTTGATTATGTTAACTTTGTAATTTTGAAATCAGATAGTATGCCTCCTCCAAGTTTGTTCTTTTCCTTTTCARAATTGTTGGATATTTTGGTCCCCAAATTAGCATGTCAGTATCAGCAAAAAAAAAGACAGTTGGGATTTTTTTTAATCAATACATAAATTTGAGAGTTACCATTTCTGGTTTCCTAACAATTTCTGTCAATAATGTTTGTACTTGTCAGTGTATGTCCCACTTCTTCTTAATCCTAAGTAAAATTGTTTTCTTAAGTTTATTTTAGGTTTTTCATTGCTAGTGTATCAAAAGATATAATTGACTTTTGCCTATTGATCTTGTATCTTGCAGTTTGCTAAACTTGTGTACCTGTTCTAATGATTTCTTAATAGATACTTCTGCTTTTGAAAATGCTGACTAAACGTTTAACTCAACATTTGACTCAATTATGTACACATTATTATAAGTACATATGTTCTAATCTCCATAGTATGAAAAGCTGGTCTTAAGCTTTTATGTAATTTCCTAAATCATAGAGATTTATCTTAAGCTTCTTTAGGAAACTTACCTACAGAGTTCTGAGTAGTGTTTGTAGTAGTAGTAGAAAGGATAATTACAGCTAACGTTTACTTTAGTCTCTCTGCCTAGTGTGTRCTCACATTATGTTTACATAATCCTATGTTATAGTCTATTGTTAGCCTCTTTTTATAGAACATAAGACTAACCCTTAATGTAATGAGTAACATGCCTAAGATCAGTAAAGCTAGAAGTGACACAGCAGGGATTTGAACCTAAGACAACTTATTCTAGAAACTGTGATCTTACAACCTACTGTGATCACTCATTGAGCACTTAATATGCATGTGTACAATGATGCTTAACCAGTGCTGATTCATTTGTCTAACATCCTCAGCTACTTGGAACAAAGCCAGAAATCATTAAGTAATAAACAGAAGTAATTATTATAGAACCCATGCAATAAAGTGTAATTTATTACTCAAGGGTAACCTTCACAGTTTTTCTAAAATACTTTGTTTTTGAGTGTATTTTTTTGTTTTTGTTTTAATTTGTTTTATTAGTGCATTATAGTTATATTTAATAGTGGGGTTCATATTGACACGATCATACATGCATGAATTGTAATTTGCTCCGTCCTCAATACTTCTCCTATCACTCTCTCCTCCTTCCTCCCCCTCCCTTCTCTTACTCCCTTTCTTCTAMTTTACTGATCTTCCTTCTATTTATTTATTGTTTTCTTTTTAATTGGTGCTTTATAGATTTACAGGAATATGGAATTCACTGTGAAATATTCATATATGTACATAGCATTATTTGGTTAATTTCACTCCATAGTTCCTCACTTTTCCTGCCATACTCCTTCACTCAAAGGAATTCCTCACTTTTCCTGCTATACTCCTTCAATCAAAGGAAATCAGTGGAGTAGCTAAAGGGAACTTTATTTTAATTTAAGTAGTAGGCTTTAATTGTTTAGAAAAATTTATGTGCAGGAAACATTTTATGTCATGCTATAGAAATATGTCTTCACTTGCATAGTGGCATTTGTCACTTTTATGTGTAAGAAAAGTAATAAATCAATTCGCTTTTCATGTTTTTTTAAAAAATAAAATTATTGGTAGATTTGGCTTTGGAAGCTATGAAGCACAATACAATATTATTTTCTTTTTTTWWAAATATTTTTTAGTTGTAATTGAACACAATATCTCTATTTTATTTATTTATGTGGTACTGAGGATCGAACCCACGGCCTCTCACGTGCGAGGCGAGCACTCTACCTCTGAGCCACAACCCCAGCCCTAAAATATTATTTTCTTTGTTATTTGCTTTTGTTTTTTTCCCCTGTAAAGGCAGTAGATATTACTTCTTGTGGAAACTTTGCCGTGATTGGTCTTTCATCAGGAAGCGTAGATGTGTATAATATGCAGTCCGGGATACATCGGGGAAGTTTTGGCAAGGATCAAGGTATTGAATTTTCTTTCTTTTTTTTTTTTTTTTTCTTGTAAGTAAGTTTTTGATGAGTTATCCCAACTTCATTTGGCAGATTAATTTCAAGATTTTTCAAGAATATAAGTAGTGGAAATCTAGATATTTGGAAAGAATTATTTGTATTGTTCCAGTAGACACTACCAATTCTGATTTCTTTTTTTCTTGTCTACTTAAAAGCTCATAAGGGATCTATTAGAGGTGTTGCAGTGGATGGATTAAATCAGTTGACAGTTACAGCTGGTAGTGAAGGATTACTCAAATTTTGGAACTTTAAAAACAAAAACTTAATCCATTCTRTGAGCCTTGATTCATCTCCAAATATGATGCTGCTACATAGGGACAGGTAAACATTTCCTTTTAATGATAATGGACTTGCTTTTTAATGTTTTTGGTAAAAGTTCATAAGTACAGATTTGTCATATGGGGAAAATCAGACTGTTTTAATAAAGAACAACATATGGTTTAATTTAATCAAAGGCATATTTGACTAATACAAGATTCCAGAGTTTTGTTTGCTTAACTGGTGCATTTATCTTGCTAGTGGCATTCTGGGACTTGCCTTGGATGACTTCTCCATTAGTGTTCTGGACATAGAAACTAGGAAGATTATGAGAATGTTTTCCGGACACCAAGGCCAAATAAATGACATGGTAAAACAAACCTTAGCTGTTTAAACAACTTTTTCTTTCTTTCTTTCTTTTTTTTTCTTTTTTAACTCCAGGTTAAAAATGTTCACAAAATTAAATCTGATATATTTTAATAGCCTTAAGCTTATCATATTAAGAGATTTTATAAATAGATAATTTGCTGGTGAGTTTTCAAGGAGATTTTAAAGGAAAACTTACAATTGAAAGAATTAAAATTTTTCAGGAAATTGATGCTATCAGAGTAATTTATCCTTTTCTCTTTAAATCTGTGTAAGACATTTTATTTTGGAAAATGAATGCTTCATTGATACGTATCATGTTTGACTTAATATAAAAGTAGGCTTAGAGAATGTATTTCTGTTTTTCTTTTTACACAATAAGTTAATAGTAGCCTTGTATATCTGTTTTATTGTAGTTTATTATAATTTCTAGAGTTTATATGAAGAGTCTAAGTAATAAAAATGTAGTTAAGTTTGCCATTATATTCTTTAGTGGGATGTTTGATATCGTAAGAACTAAACTACTTTTAAAAGCATGTTTCAATTAAAAGATAAACCTTAAAATAAACTTGTCATTGAGGACTATGTTAAGTATATGTTGTTATTTGGAATCAGTTGCAAATGGAGTAATTTACTTGAAAAGAGAAAAAATTAAAATAAAATCCTAACTACTGAGTGACAAACCCATCAGCTTCATTTACTTATGAGTCTAACATCAAAAATCAGAATTACAATGCTTACTCCTTTCCTTAATATTAAAAGAAAGAAATGGTTAAGAAAAAAATATGTTCTGCAACTAGGAGATTGGCAAAATTACTCATCAACAGAATTTGTTTTGACAGCATCTATAGAAACAAGAGTGGAAGTGGTGTAATTATGATGAAATGACATTTTTTAAAACATCTGTCGGTATTAACTTGTTCTTCCTATTTTTTTTCTTAAATTTTACTTTATCCTAATGTGTCTAGAATTTCTCCTTCTCAGTAATAAGTTATTCCTGATCATGTAAATTTGTGAGCATTTATAATATGACCTTCTGAGAGTTATTTTTTACTATGATCTACTATCTGCACCATCTCTCTATAAATTGAGCTATTTATACCCTGAGGTTTGAGTTTCCATGATATTGCTGCAGTCTGATGAACAAAATTAGCATTCAGCTTATTTCAGTATCATTTGCTAATATTAATGATCATAATCCCTTTGCTGTGTTTAGACTCCTTGATGAATTATGTACTACCATTATAAATGTTAAACTTTTTTTCCTTTGGGGTCCTTCACATCTGATCTAAAACTCAGAACTTCCGTATTGCAGGCGGGAATGGTTATTATTTATTATTTTTATAGCTGGAAAAGATAACTTCTTTAAGGTGGCATAAATAGTCCATTATTTAAATTTATTTTAAAAATCTTTCCAATTGTAGTTTTGAATTATATTTTAGAAATAAAGCATCATGAAGGGAGAAAAAGTGAGTTTTTAGTAGAGCTGCAGATAAAAGCAGAAGGACTTTAGTAATATTTTAAGAGAATTTTTATTCTTTACTTTTACGGATTCTTAGCCAGACAGCCTAATATATAGACTCTTCAAGGAAATAAGAGTTTTTGTTGCTTTCAGAAATACTTTGTAACTGAAATTAGAGTAGCAAAATACTTCTTATTGAACATTCTACCAATAACATTTTTAATATGATTTATCTTCAGAATTTGTTAATTATCTATAAACAAGTAGAAGATTGTGGTATGAAAATTGGGCTGATGCTCTTAATCTTTTAAACTTTTTATAGTTAATTTGAAAACTTAATCCTTATAAATTTCAGATCAATTTATATAGAAGTATTATTTTCTTTTTTGTAAAATAAGGCAGCCTGAATTTTACTTATTTATTTTTTCATGAAACCTGAATTTTTTCAAGTCTTGTATTTTTCAAGGAGTTAAATACATATTCATATACCCATGCATACAAATATATATTTATATATATATAAAATATTATTTTTGTTTGTTTTATTTCAAGGCTTTCAGTCCTGATGGTCGTTGGTTAATAAGTGCTGCAATGGATTGCTCTGTTAGGACTTGGGACCTTCCATCTGGTTGGTGAGTTTGCTTTTAAATTCTTCAGATGATTCCTTGGTCATTGTCTTAACTTGTGACTATTACCTGTAGTTAATGGATCATGTGGGTTCTTTTAACATGAATGTATTTGGGTATTTTTCTAGCATAACTATATTTTATTCTTGGAGTATTTTGAATCTTAAAACAGTAGGAAGTTGAAGCATCATGAAAAATTATTGAAAAAAATACACATCTCTCCTAAAATGTTCTTCTGCAACGTAAATCTATAGAAATGAGTTGTATGAATCTTAAGACAGCACATTTATTCTTCTTAATACCCCAAAATAGAGCTCAGACTTTAGGACTGCAAACTTTCTGGGTGTGTTTTCGTTTTTTGATTTTTGATTTTTTTTCATATTGAATTTAATTAAAAGGTCAAATCCCTAGCTTTCCTCTTTATGCTATATCTTCTCAAAGCATAGCAGTATCAGAAATCTGTTTCATGGAGTGAAACTTAAAACAAATCCAACATTTTCTCAGGAACTAGATAACTTCATATGTGAAAGTAGTTTGACCTTTAAAAGGGAAAAACCGTGATGTTCTCACTTCCCTTTAAGTTTTTTTTGTAGGCATGAAGCATACCTACCTATTCAGCATATACACTATATTTAGAATAAGCACAGCTAAAGTGTCACTAGTGGGTCAAACTCTAATGACTAGGGACTTTTGTCCACAGGTGTGAACCTCTTTTACTTAAAATAGAGTAAAGCATAATCTGATTTCTGCTTCAGCAAAAGTAGGTATTTCCTAAATTTAAAACTTACTTTTTATTGGTCCCTGGGATTGAATCCAGGACTTTCAYATTCTAGTCAAGCCCTCTACCACTTCTACCACTGAGCTGTATACCCAACCCTTTTGATTCTTTATTTTGAGACTGAGTGTCACTGAGTTGCTGAGGCTGATTTTAAATTTGCCATCCTCCTGCCTTAGCCTCTCAACATACTGAAATAACAGGTATGTACCACCACACCTAGCTGTAAAAACCTTGTTTTTGAAGACACTAATAGAAATATTGGTAGTATGATGCTTCTTGGCCTTTTATTATTATCTAAAATGAACAATATATAATTTGAATTAAAGTTAGAAAGTTGTACAAATAATAGAGTTGACATAATGTGCTTACTATTTTCCTTTTTAATAATGTTGGTTCACATTAGGTGAGAGAAATAGGTTAATGTTCAGTAAGACTAAATTGGCAAAATGTTTTTTAAGTGGCAAGTTTATCTTTGGAATGAAAGAATTAGGATCTGAAAGTAGCATTCAAAGCCTCCAAACTTTGACTCAGCATTAACCTTTCTGCTGAATTATTATTACAGAAAGGAGTTGAAAAGTTTAAGCTTGAAAAATTACCTCTAGATAGGGAATAAGGGTGGAAGGGAAAGGGAGGGAGAAGAGGATGGTGAAAGGAGACCTTCATCACTATACAATATACATGTATGAAGATGTGAATTTGGTGTCAACACACCTTATATATAATCAGAGATATGATAAATTATGATATAATGGTGTATTATGAATTGTAATGCAAAAATAAATAAATATTTTTTTAAAAAAGATTTAAGCTTGATAGATTTACAACTCTTATTTTTAGGTGAACACAAGCCATTTTAGATTAATACAGAGGCATGAATACAACTAAGTACAGCACAAGAACAAGAAATGAGCCACTTAGGGTTGTTCAAAGAAAATATAATAAAATCTACTGTTATTGCATATATGTACATTTTTACTAAAGAATAATAAGTAGTTCTTCGGTAAAAATTTGAAGTGCAGTAATGAAACATGTTGACAAACAATATCAAACAACTAATGCTGCTTAACTGCAACTAAACTAAAATTTGTCATGCTGCTATGCACATTAAATGCCTTTATTTTCTCATATTCTAATAAACACGGATATTATTATTGTTATACTGTTTTCTTCTGTACAAGTGGGAGAATGAAGGTTCAGGAAGAAATTAAGTGATTGGTGAGTAGCAATTTAGTTTGTAAATGGCAGAGCAAAAAAGCAGAGGAGAATTAGTTTAGCCAATAGTTGCTCAGTGGTTTCATATTCTAAGGATGCATTGATTTTCTTGCTGTGGAAGACAAATAATTAAAAAAGCAAGAATTAATATTTTTATCATACAACCCTAGGTAACTATTGAGTGTCTTTGATTCCCCTCTCTTTGGTCTTTCCTATATTAAAAATTTTTTTTTTTAGTTATACATGGTCATAATAACTTTATTTTTCGAGGCAAATGCTCTGTCACTGAGCCATAATCCCAGTCCCCTTCCTGGCTCTATAATAAGCAATTTCATCAATTGTATAGCATGCTAAATATTTACAGAATGGTTATATTTGTTATTTAACCTAAAAAGTGAAGCAGTCCATCTTGCGAAACTATCAAGTAAGCTTCTGGAGGTAGTAACATAGACGTACACACAACTGGAATTGTGATCTAAAATTGCATAGTTATTGAATGGTTTATCATAAATTATTTTAAGGACTGAAATTTGTTTTTGTTTTTAAAATTCTCTTAAACAAAATTTAATATTTTTTAACCCCTGAAGTTACATTGTCATTTACCTACCTACATGCCACCACTTTTTATTTCTGTTTGTTTTTGATTTATTGGAAATTCAGGTTGAACTCTTTGGAGGAAGATAAATACATAAAGTTAAATACTTTTATAATTAAATTTTGCATTTATTCTCACTTCTCCCCCATCCTTACTTTCTGAGGAGTATAAGCATGAGAAAATTGGAATAAAACATTGTTTTGCAATTGTCACTGAGGCAAAATTACCTCTCTCTGCTGCTCCTTAATGATTCCTGTGGAAGGTTATTCCATTACTTTGGAGATAGACTATGTGGACACTATCAATTTTTCCAGAATAATAATCAGAAATAACTTACTTAAGGTTATCTGTATATGCAGGGCTCTGATCTTGAAAATCTGATTCCTCAGAATAGGAATGTTATTAATGTTTTTTCAGAAAATAATTATACCTGCAACTTTTCATTTTGTGGGATTCTCAGGAGACCATACAGTAGTTTCAGCTCTGGGATAAAGCCTGCACACCTAGGTTTTATGAACAAAATGACAGTGTAAAATATGGTGCATATATAGAAGCTGCCACCTCAGTTGGGAATTTTACATAATGGAAGATCAGTCTACCTGCAATCTACAACTATAAAAATGAAGTTACACAAAGAAATTGTCCCCCTAAAATGTTATAGTGTCAAGTAAAGTATGTTTGCTCAATATTAATTTTTTTCTTAGCAGACAGATAGATTCTAAACATGTTAGGAAGTTTCACCCCTCACATACTTAAATTTTTGCTGAACAAGAATGTTAAAGACAAGGAAAAATTACAAGATCTGAAACTGCTATATTTTAATTTTCATTTACATACACTGAGATAATATCTTCTGCTCGGTTGTTTGGATTAAAAGAATTAACATAAATAACAGTCTCTGGCTTGTAATACAAGTGTTTAGCAAAAATTTCCTTTCCCCACCTTCCCTGATTTCCAAGAAAAGCCATTCAGAGTGGCCTTGAGCAGAAATCAAACAGATTGTTTCTCCCCTGTACCCCATACTTGAGAAATGACAATAGTTTCAGCAACTTGAGAGATTTTACCATATGTAAGTCACTTAATATCTCCACTGGAGAGCCTTTATTTACATTTGAATCTTTCATAGTGTGTTTCTGAATCACCAGTGTAGACATACCTTCTTTGTGTGTATGTATGTTATCCCATTGTTTGATGTACCCTAATTTTCTATAGTTAGTTTACTAAAGTTAATGTGGTTGCGAATGTAGACTGGTTGCAAATCCTGACTTAATTTCTTTCTTTTATCCTGTCAAGTTTTGAAATCTTATTGGGCTTCAGTTTTCTTAGGATGGACCTGCCTTATGGGGCTGCAAGGATTAGTCCAGAATACTAACAACAAAAAAAAAAAAATCAAAAACAAAGTTAACTGCTTTATGTTGTTCTTATAGTTTGTATTTTTTGATGTAGATTCTGAACTTTAGTCATTTGATTTTTATCTTTCCGTGGATAGTGTATTGTGTTTAGTAAATAAAGTGGTTTTAAAACAGCTGTGTTTAAAGCCAGTATACTCTTCCTAAAGGTATTCCTGCTCATAACCATCCTAAGGAGTCTTCCTAGCAGGTTGGGAATGAGTGCAGGTCTTTCTCTTTGCTTCTATTGAGATCTTTTTTGTTAAATGATTGCTACCATAATTCACTGATATTCCTGTTCTGTAGTTCTGACAGCAAATATTCTTATGAAAGTGAAGATTGTACCATTGTGTGCTCAAAAGTGTCAGTGACTTCCTATCAGCTATAATATAAAAACAAATTCAGATGTTTGATGTTCAAGATTCTGTATGCTTCCACCCAACTGTACTACTCACTCACTATACCCAAGTACTTTTTTTTGTTGCCTTCCACATTTCCCTCAGTGAGGAAATGCTTTTTCTACCATCAGCATTCTTTAAAATCCTGGCCATTCCTAAGGCTYAGCTCAAACATTGTGTTCTCTCTGAAGCCTCTTCTAAAAGAGTCTCCTACCTGGGTGTGGTCACTCCCCTTTCCTTTTCAACTTTTAAAACCCCTTTAGCACTTTAAAGCTGCAGGACTAGTTTCTATAAGCTGCTTTATGTTTAATCTCTGAAGACTGAAGGTTCGTACTTTTTCATATATAGCACTGCTACCTATTTGGAAAACAGGTAGAATTGCTCAAAAGTTTTTCTGTCATTATTCTCTTATTATTTACTGCCATTTTGTTGCCTTAGCCTTTTATTGTTCGCTGGAGTAAAAAAAAAAAAAAAGATACAGGAGAGTACTGATAATAGATTTATTTTTAATGTGTAATGTCTTTAAAATTGCCCTTAAGTCAATATAACAAAATTTGGTGTTAGAAAAATAGAGCATTTTTTCCTGTATTCTCCCTAAAGTTAATTAGTCTAATAAGTAGTTTTGAGTCTTTCTCATTAAGAGATTATTTTCACATAGTAACTTAGTTAACAGAACTGTATGTGTGATGACTTTCTGGTGGTAGGTAATTACATTTTTTTTCTGAATCTCATTCCTTATTCTTTGAGCAAATAATTTTTGTGCATTATATCTTTTTTAGTAAAGCTTAAGTACTTTAACATCTTAATTCTTCTTGCAGCCTTGTAGACTGTTTTTTGTTAGACGCAGCTCCTCTCAATGTTACTATGTCCCCTACTGGAGACTTTCTAGCCACTTCCCACGTGGACCACCTTGGAATTTATTTATGGTGAGTTTTTTCATACAGTACTGTTTTAGGAGTAGGAGAAGAAAAAGGATAATAGTGATATTGTCAGAATCATGGTTATTAAGTTGCCATTTAGTTGTGTTTTTTTTTTCTTAATACATGGAAATGTCAATACACTGATAACTCACTGTAAATTTTATGACTGATTCAACATTTGCTTGTTAATTTTAACAGCTTTCCTCAAGTGCATATTCTAAATTATATGATCATATTTGGCTTTTTTTTTTTTTTTTTTTTTTTTGCAGAAAAGGTAAATGGATTTAAAAGGTTAGAAAAGGAATTTAAAAGGTTAGAAAAGTAAAGTTTCCACCCAAGCCCTCACCCTCTTTCTAGTTTCCCATTATGGCTGTATGACTTTAACTAATCCCTTCTGAACATTACCTACTTTATCTATAAAATAAGGCATAATGCTTTCTAATATTGATCCTAGTAGGAAGACTCTACTAACCTTGTAAAGATGATTTATGGTGATCTTCAAATTCTAAGATTGAACTTTAGGCTGTGATTATTCTAGATCCCCTGGGTCTAGAAAAGTGTAATCTTTGTCTTGAGTTCATATATCTAATTCTTTTAACTCTTATTCTTGGGGAAGAGGAAAAAATTGATTCCTTTTCTAATTCTAGTTACATGATGTTATTACATTTTTAAGATAAAAAGGTAAATTTGATATGTAATGGAAATAGATTTTGGCCATCTTAATAAACAAAATTATTATTTCCCAGAATCAATGAAGCTTCAACCATTAAAATAAAAGGATAATAGTAGCTATGATACCTGCCATAGGAGAATGAACTTCTTTATATAGAACTGATATTAATTAATGTTAATTCAGGACCTGAGAATCTAAATTTTTTACTTCTCATTTGAGATTCATAATATGTGAGTAGAAGAATCTGTTCCTGCTTTGGGATAGATGTCAATATCTTGGTTACAGATCTATGGCTCACCTGCCAGGTCAAGTAGCAGAAACATGGCCACTTAAGTGCATCACTCTAGAAAAGGGAAATCTATGACTTTTCAGCAGCACCGAGAATTTGGTCAGCATATTCCRTCTCTGAGTCCATCTTTCCTTTTATAATTTCCTTAAATGAAGTTGATATTTATTAAAATAATATTATGGAGGTTATTTTACCTTATGAAAGTATTATCTACTTCTGATCTCTTTTAAATGTGTTTTTGTACTACTTTAAAAATAGAGATTCTGTTAATTTCTTATACAGTATTTTTTTGTGATGGCATCTTTGACCTGAATGAATGCATTTTTAATCTTTAAGGTCTTTTCTTAACTAGTTGGTGATTGTAGTCTGTGGCCCAATTCAAGATGTAAAGATTATTAGCAGATATTGACATTTCTGTGAAGAAACATAACTTTTAAAATATTRTTTCTGTTTTGATTTCTCAGGTCTAATATTTCCCTGTATTCAGTTGTCTCATTACGGCCACTTCCTACAGATTATGTTCCTTCAGTAGTGATGCTTCCTGGGACTTGTCAAACCCAAGGTAACCACAAAATAGTAAAGTAATTTTGATATTATTTTAAATCTARTTTAAGAGCTGTTGCTATAGAAGGCAGAGCGCAATACATTTAATCAAAGTTTTTAAACTGTGATATGAAATATTTTAAATGACTAAAATTTATGCAAAAATATAATACACATAGTATCTATACGATACTAAATAAAATGCTAGTTGAAAGCATTTTAGTTCTTATGATGTGAGTTGTAGTTAATATGAGAAAATAAGGAAATGGGATAAGCAAAGGAAATAAATGAAAAGAGTTTACAAGGCTATATTAACTGATCATGTTACAGAATATAAATGGATTTGGAATGATTGAATTTTGTTTTTATGATAAAATTCTCATTTCACATTAATTTCTTTTACCTTAAAAATATGTATTTTTTAAAGATATAGATATAACAGAAGAAAATGTAGAACCAAGTGACGAAATGATAGAGTATGATTCACCAGAACAGTTGAATGAACAATTGGTGACTCTCTCACTTCTCCCTGAATCACGGTGGAAGAACCTTCTTAATCTTGATGTTATTAAGGTAATGTTATAATACATTTAATATTGAGCTTCAAGCACACATTCCATAGGCAGGGCTTTTGTTTGTTTGCTTGTTTGCAGAATTAACTTCCCCTACATTGAAGGCATTAGGAAGAGAGCAGTTAACATAGCAAAAGTAATGCCACTTAATTGAATGCCATTTTATCTATTCTKATTATCCCAAAGTAATCAACATTGATAGTCCTCTGTAGATGTTTGGATGCGGCCTAAATATAATCTATAATCTACAGAGCTATTGGAAGTTGAATTTTTTTWAATTCAGTCTAATAAATTACTTTCTAAGCTTCTAAAATGAGAGGGGAAAAAATTGCTACTATAATTTGTGTATCTACTGATACGTGTTTGGAGGCAAGAAAATTTCACTAATTTTTTAAGCTTTTTAATTAAGCATCTGTCATCCCATAACCTACTTTGTTAACTATAAAAAATTTTTTAGAGCTTTTGTGTYAGGGTCACAAACATAAATTAACATGACATAGGTACTAGATAATGTACTGAGACTACAGCAGTTACAGTAAACTGAGGCTCTGTGTCCTTGAGGAATTTAAAATTTCACATGAAAAGTGATTATCTGTGGTATATGTTAGTGAAGTGTATTTTTATGGCCCCTAATTGTAAGTCGAAAAAGCAATTGAAAAAAACAGAATAGAGTAGAAAATTCCAAGTTATCTTCTGATGGTACAAGTATTGTTTTGTGAAACTTGATTCAATTATGTATGTGTACACACATACACCATCACTAAGCTTATGTGTGTAGTAAGGCACGACATGAGCTGTGATAAAAAGTTTTAGGAATACTGATTCAGATACCTAAAACAAAATGTAGTAATTATTCTAATAATTTAATATCAAGGAACACTGCTACAGGTATCTATAATTTAGAAAAGCCCAGGTWAAGAGTAGCTGTGGTTACGTGACCAATGTAATTCCATATCATATACCACAAAAATGGGAAATTATACTCCATGTACATACGATACTTGTCAAAATACATTCTATTGTCATGTATAACTAAAAAGAACAAATGAAAAAAAAAGAATAGCTGAGGTATTGGTCAAAYGGATTTTAGCATTCTAATCTGAAAAAGTTCATCTTTTTTACTTTTTGATATTTGTGTTTAAATTGATTTGGAATCAAATATTAAATATTAGAATCTGTTGGCAGGATAACAACTTACTAGTCTTTTTTCATTTTCTCTTAATCAGAAAAAGAATAAACCAAAGGAACCACCCAGAGTACCCAAATCAGCACCATTTTTTATTCCAACGGTCCCTGGCCTTGTACCCAGATATGCTACACCTGAACAAAATAATGATCCCCASCAGGTAAACACCAAATTGAAACATTATAAGTATATGGGAGACTTCATCTCATCCCAGTCAGAGTGGCAAGAATATAAACAACAGTAAATGTTGGCAAGGATGTGGGGGGAAAAGGTATACTCATACATTGCTGGTGGGAATGCAAATTGGTGCAACCATTAAGGAAGGAGGTATGGAGATTCTTCAGAAATTTGGAATGGAATCATCATTTGACCCAGCTTCCCACTCCTTGAGAGGGGAGGGGAATATTACTCACCCTTAAAGAAGAATGAAATTATGGCATTTGCCAGTAAATGTGTGGAGCTGGAGAATATCCTGCTAAGCAAAATAAGCTGATCCYCCCAATCCAAAGGCCAAATGTTTTCTCTGATATGTAGATGCTAATTCACAATAAAGGGTGGGGGGYTAAGGAAGAATAGAGTTACTTTAGGTAGAGGGGAGTGAAGGAAGTAGGGAGGGAATAGGGGTAAAAATGTTAGTGGTATGAATCAGACATTATTACCCTCTGTACATATATAACTATAGGACCGAAGAATGAGAAATTATACTCCATCTGTAGATGATGTATCAAAGTGCATTCCATTATCATGTATAACTAATTAGAACAAATTTTTTTAAAATATGGGGAGTATATGTTTGCATATATTTTGTATCATTCTTTATCAAGATTCAGTTTTGTAAATTATTGATAGTTTGTAATTATCAACATTAATTTTTGGTGATACCTATGTTCTTTGAATAATGTGYGTTTGTTTTTGTTTAAGTCTAAAGTTGTAAATCTTGGGATCTTGGCTCAAAAGTCAGATTTCTGCTTGAGACTTGAAGAAGGACTGGTAAATAATACCTGTAAGTTAAACTATAAAATATTTTAACAAGTATCTGCAGCTTATTTTATGTGACAAAAAATTGAAGGAAATATTAAATTCCTAAAAGAAAGTAGCTAAAAGGATATAGTAAAAACTAAAAGGATTGAAATTTTAATTCTAATCTGAACTGATTTACCTTTTAAATTATATTAAATGAGTCACACTAAACTCAGGTGATATGATATTGCAAAAATCCATGGAAAACCCCACATACTTTCTTCATGAAAARTTAGATTTTCTGGACTGAGGTTGTGGCTCAGTGATGGAGTGCTTAAAGGTACACTGACAACTAAAAGAAAATAATTTTAAAAAAAAAAACAGATTTTCTGTTTTTTTTTTTTTCTTCAATTTGGAGAAGGATAAATTTTGACAACTTTTATAATGAGGATCTTGGTGTGTATCAAATATAACGATTTTGTTGTAGGTAATTTTCAAGCTTTTTGTTTTTATTTATATATTTGATTTGGAATGCCATTTTCAGTACAATAGAGACTTGTCTTAAGTAGTTTTATATTTMCATATTATCTTATAGAAATTTTATAATGTATTGAGTTAAATGTGCTAATATATTTAAAATTTGAAGGTGATAGTCTATAGCTAATACTAATGAAACTATTAACTGTAAGCAATTGTAAAGATCATAAGTAGTCTCCTGAAACATTTGATCTATCCTGTTGGTTTATGATCCTAATGCTTTTGTTTTTATGAAATCCATATGGGCAAAAGTGAAAAGATGCCCTTGAAAGACTTGTGTTTTGGGGTGACAAACAACAAAAACACTATTATTCAAAATATACTGAGTGACATAAAAATAATATTTTTTATAGCCTTTTGTCATCGGTGGTGTTTCAAAAAGCTAAAAGCAATCATTGCCATTACAGTATCAAATCTCATATAAAATGGTTTGTTGAGTATATTTTTGTAGAGTGCACATGAAACAATTATGAAGTAGGTTTGAAGGATCAGAAGAAGGCCTGGCGCCTTTCCCTTCTTATATATTTTTGTATTGTTACTATTTCTTAGTTATCATGCACTTTTACAATTTTATAATAATAAAATGGAGAAAGCAAAAAAATCTCTATCTTATACCCAGTGGTAATTATTGTTAATAGTTTGTTATGTACCTTGATAGTCTTCATGTGTTAGAATTTGTTCTAATTGATTTGTGAGCACCTTGAAGTGTGTGTCATGAAGCATTAGATTTTATTTAAGAGCAGGAAAGAAAGTTTAAATTACTATAAATTCAGAAAATTTAGTGCTTTCAATATTTTTACTGTATTGATTTTGTTATTTTTGCTGATTTTCACTTATTGGAAGTTTATTCTACTGCTTAACATAAAAAAATTAACACTCAAAATTTCTGATGCTATTTAAATATATCTTGTGTGGGGTATGAAAGAAAAACTGTAGCTTCTTAGTGAATGTAGKTAATAATGGGATTCCTTTTAAAATTTAATGTAGATGAAGCCGCTCTCAGCCTTCTGAAAGAAATGGGCCCATCAGGAATTGAAACAGAGCTAAGGAACTTGTCTCCTGACTGTGGTGGATCTATAGAAGTCATGCAGAGTTTCTTGAAAATGATCGAGATGATGTTGGACAGAAAGCGTGATTTTGAATTAGCCCAGGCATACCTTGCATTGTTTCTAAAAGTAAGTCTAATATTTTCCACCTTCCTTCCTTAGCAGCATTATCTAGTAGAACTTTCTGCAAAGCTGGGAATGCTCTACATTCACACTGTCCTATCTGATAGCCATTTGCCTTCTGTGGTTGTTGAATATAGAAAATATGACCAGTGTGACTTAGAAGACTGAATTTTTAATTTTTTAGAGTTTAAATAGTCACATGTGGCTAGGGACTACTGCACTGAAGTAGTTGGACCACACAGTTTGGTAATCTTTACTTTTTATTATAATTTTATTACAATTTTGACTGTACCTTTTAATTTTCCTATGTCATCATTTGATCCAATATACTAAACCATTAACTTTTTCTAAGTAGTTATATTTTATGTTTTTCTTGATCATAAAGAAAAAGTCAGATTTTATATTTGTTTTTTCTACTGCTGAAATAAAAATATTCACCTCTATTATAGTTGAAGGAGTTTCAAGTGATTTGACACAACAGTTGCTTTTATGATTAACAGAATAGAGAGAATAGAGAGCTTGTGTTTTGAAGGTCTTCTTTAATAGTCTAATGCATTGAAGGATAGATGATGCTCATTTTTAGTAATACATGATTTTTTATCTGTCTCATTAATTATCTAAAACTTATTTTCACTTGATCTAATTATTTTAAAATTATTAAAAAGCTAGACAGTAACATACAGGGTTGAACAATAGAAGTGCCACAGATTATATTTGTATATTTTTCCACATTTACCAAGTTTAGTTAGAGTTAGTGTTAGAAATAGGACTTTGGTTCAAGACTTTTGTTTGAACGATGACCACTTCAGTTCTGCTGAGGGAGTGACAGTCCATCAAGGAAGTCATGATTTAGAAAAAAATATGAACAAGTGGGAAATCAGAGAGAATAATAAACCAGCATTTAAAGGAAAAAATTAGATAGTATTTCCTTGGGCTCCTTGGTAAGGAAAAAAAAATCCAAATCAGGTAAAATTTTAATTTTCTTAAATAAAATATCTATCATTTTTCTTTTCAGTTACACCTTAAAATGCTTCCTACAGAACCAGTACTCCTAGAAGAAATGACAAAGTTGTCATCACAAGTGGAAGAAAGCTGGATTCATTTACAATCACTCTTCAATCAAAGCATGTGTGTTTTAAATTATATCAAAAGTGCTTTGTTATAAAAAAAAAAAAAAACCTTAAGTGATTAAAGAAAGCAAAAATTTTTATTAGATGGGTTCAGTGTGAAAAAAGTGCAGCACTACATGAATAGTAAATAGTAAATAATTCAATACTTTAAATGCTAAATACTTTCTTGAAATAAAATTTCCCCTACTTTTGTTTGGAAAGCCTTAAGAATCAGATAACTTACTTTGAGTTCCTTCATTTTAGGTACTTTTATGGCTTTTTGAATTGTTGTTATCAGCATGCGTTTTTTAATATGTTACATATAAGAGATACTACATATTTAGTGTGAAGTACTGAATTAAGTTAAAGATGTCAGTTGTAAGGGATCTGTAATATAGTTATAAAAATGCCCTTATGAAGAAAAAAGGAGTGTTTCTTTCCTTGATAGTTTTTGATGAAATCATGGCTCTTATTGCTGGAAGGCATTTTGGACATCATCTAGTACTGCCTTCATATGTGGTTGAAGAAGAATCAGTATAAGGTCGCTGGGATCTCAGTGATGAATCTGAATTTCTAATACAGGCCCAGTGCTTTTTCCACTGTCAATCATGAAGGAACTTATTCTTGATTCAGAAGTATGATGGGTACTTGCCCAAGGCAAATTGTTATAGAAAAAGATTGAATGGATACCCATAATAGGAAAGGGGAATTCCAATTTCTATTGAAGGTTGTCCTTAAAAGAGATTTTCCTTCTTTACGGATGACTTGCTTTATTTGGGAAGAAACTACTGACTCTTCTTTTCTGTCTCAACTATTGCAAAACCTGGAAGATCTGGCAGTTTTCTCTTTCCTCATCATTTTCCTTTTTATGTTTCAGTACTTGAGCAATACATAAGTTAAAAATAAGCAGTTCTTAAAATTAAAAGCACAGTGTTCTAAAAAACTGCTTTTATTTAGTACACTCAAAAGTAGTGTCATTCCTAAAATGCAGCTGGTTAGATTTAGACACCAATAACATTCTTGTTAAATAGTAGAGTTTGTATTACAGACTAATCTCCTCCCAAAAAAGCAGTCCTTAAAAGGAATTGACTAAGAAGGAATTTAATGTTAAAGTGTTTTTATTTAATAATGTAGAATTAGTAAACTAGGGAAGTAAGTTTGTGTTCAGTTTTGGTTATCTTTTAAAATATATATCAATTTGTTAAAGCCACTAACTGAAATGTTAATAATGATTTAAGTTCTGCCTTTAAAAACTGACCTGAGGTGCTGGGACTATAGCTCAGTGGTAAAGCACTTGCCTGCCTAGCCTGAAGCACTGGGTTCAATTCTCTGCATCACACTAAAAATAAATAAAGTTATTATCTATCTACAACTAAAAATATATTTAAAAAAATTTTAAAACTTTCTTGAATATGATTTCCCCTGTTCTCAACATAATTATTGTAGAAATATGGCAAAAATACAGTATGCAGTTGTATACCTTGTAAAGATTGTAAATAGCTAAAACAAATGATAATAACTATCAACAGAAAACATTTTTTTAACAAATCATGAACTGAATTTTTTTATATTTTCAAATAAGAGTATTGAGTTGAATACGTTACTTTTATTGGAGATATCTTTAGGTAGTATTACCCACATTAGTTTGGCAGGTTATCTTCCAGAAGCTTTTCTATGCATTTACCATCAAAGAGGGAGGGGAAAAGAATATAAAGTATAATTTTGTATATATTTTTTAAAAATCAGTCTGTGTATATTGCTGTATCTTTAAATTTTAAATTAAACTTAATAAGTGACTGTATTGTACTTTTAAAAATGTCAGACACATCTTTTTTGACAAATCTTCAATCTCTGTATATAACCACAGGAMATAAAATGTATAGTTTTGGTTTTTTACATAAAGATCTTTACATCATTCTGCAACTTGCTTTTACCACTTGTTTTTTATTTTAGTACATTCTCATTGAACTGATCTTTATTTTGCATCATGTCCCATAATCTGTTTGGCCTAAAATGGACACTTAAGTAGTCCTCCCTTCTAATTCTAAACAGCTGGAGTGAACATCATCTTATGTGAGTCTTTATGTGCATGTAATAATTTCTCTGTAGTAATTGCTTAGAATTCAAATTGCTGGGCCAGAGGATAAGCATTTTTAATTTAAAGAGATACTTCCATCCAGTTGGCTTCCAAAATGACTATCATGTTTACAGTTCCCCTCAGCTAAGAATGAGCAGCTACTTCCCCTTCTCATGGAACTCTTTAAATCTTTATAATTTTTATTAACCTAATGAGTGAAAAAAATTATTTTAATTCAGATGAGCATCTTTTCATGTTTGTTTTAGACCATATTTTTTGGTGAGTAATCTTTTTCTTCTCATTTTTTTATTGAATGATTTGTCTTTTTATCTCATGGATTTGGTTAAGTTTTTATAAAACTTAGATATTGATCTATGTCTGTTTCCAATGTTTTTTCCCAGTTGACTGCTTGTCTTTAACCTTACTTAGCATTTCTTTTTTTTTTTTTTTTTTTAAAGATAGGAGAGAGAGAGAGAGAGATTTAATATTTATTTTTCAGTTTTCGGTGGACACATCTTTATTTTTATGTGGTGCTGAGGATCGAACCCAGCGTCCCTTGAATGCCGGGTGAGCGCGTTACCGCTTGAGCCACATCCCCAGYCCAGCATTTCTTTTTTTAATAGAGATTTTATATTTTTATATAGCCAAATTGATCAATTTTGTCTTATTCTAAGATATTAATCATATTTTTTATCTTTTTTATATTTGTTCATTTTGCAGTTGTATTTTCTCCTGCAATGTGCATCTGTGTGAGTTGTTAAATGTCTAGATCTTTATCTGTAATTGGTTTGTGTGATTAAAGTAAAGGTATAGACATGCCTTAATTCAAATGTCTTCAAAAATAATTTATTGAAAAATTAATTCTTTTGTCTCTGATTTGAAATTCTGCTTCATTAAATGTACTAAAATCTTTTATTGAGTTCTTTTATATTTCTAATAAATGTATTACTTTGATGATAGTTGTGGTATGGTTTCAGATTTAGTGGGGTAGAGCCCTAATGTTTTTCAAAAATTTTTTGGCTACTGGTGAGCGTATTTTCTTGAAGTTCTGATTTGGATTGTATTATATTAGTAGGATTGATTTATAGAAAACCATAATACGAGTGTTTTTAGTTAAGCACACTGTTTTTCTTCATTAAATCAAATTACTTGTGGGCAAGCATTTCTTGGTTTCATAGATTTTTAAAATATAGATTTTTTTGACAAATTTATTTCTGGGGTTTTTATTTTTGTTATATTGAAATCTCTTTTTCTAATATATTTTGTAAATGGTTATTGCTATTATAAAAGCACTTTGATTTTTATATGGCTCTATTGTGACACTGCCAAATTCTTTTAAGAGTCTGTGGATGTATTCTTAACTTAGAAAATCGAAGAGAATCCCATTCTATGATTGCTGAGATTTTATTTATTTTTTTAAGAATATAATTAAGGTCTTTTTTTTTTTTTTTTTGAGAGAGAGAATTTTTTTAATATTTTATTTTAGTTTTTGGTGGACACAACATCTTTGTACGTGGTGTTGAGGATCGAACCCGGGCCGCATGCATGCCAGGCGAGCGCGATACCGCTTGAACCACATCCCCAGCCCTGAGATTTTATTTTTTATCAATTATTCATAGTTCATATAGTTGTTTAGAATCAGGATTGCTTTAGCTGGATCTGGCACAAAATGTCAAATACTGACAAACAGCAGAAGTTTTTGTTTTGTTACTGACTTCAGGGGAAATGCTTGTAAATGTTCTTTCATGAAGGATGATGTGTGCTCTGAGTTTCTGGTAGATATCCTTTGTTAAATTCTAATTCTGTTTCTAACTTGCTGCTCTAAAAATTTAAACTACAGGTATGTGTAGAGTTTTGTCAAGTGATTTTTTTTGAGCTTGAAGGATCAAGATCTTTAATTGGTGTAATATAATGAATTTTAATCACATATTTCCTATATTGAATCATGTTTAATTCCTGGGATAGTACTATTTCTAATAAAGATATAACTGTCCATTTTTCCATTTCTTAGAATTTTATCTATCTTTGATTTTTTTTAAATTTTCTACTCAAACTGGGAAAAGCCCTGCCTAGAGTCTTTATTACATCATGATTTTTTCTATTTGATTTTTTCTGTTTACTTACTATTGAGTTTTTTATCTTTTCTCAAGATAATATTGATTTATGTTTTCCTTACCAATCACAAGATTTACTGAACTTTCCAATATATAGTGTAAATTTATATATAGGTTTATGCCTTTTTTTATTAATTGTTGCTTACAAGTGAAGGAAGCCCAACTCATACGTAATAATGTTTGCAAAAATCTAGCAATAAAATTGGCTTCACCTGTTGCTAGATTTACAGGTTCCTTGGAAATCAGTTTCTCCAGTTCCCCTTTTTGCTCTCCTCATTATTAACTAACTGCTCAATCAAGATTTATTGAGAACCTACTATGTTCCAGAATTTCTTATTAGTACTGGGAATGTATCCATGATCAGAACTTGAGGCAAAGTAGCTCCCAACAGTTCTGAATTTACATATTCTTCCGAAACTAACTAGAAAGGAGTTCTCTTTAAACAAGTCCTAAACAGATTTCAATGTGCCTACTTAAACTTTGAACCTATCACTGTGGCCAGAGAGATTCGGTGCTTTATTAGSTGGGTTTGGTCACATGTGGAACTCTGAAAAAGAGATGGAAACAACCAAGCAGAGCCACCTGAGTTGAGAAGGTAGAATAACTACCCACGGAAATGGGTTCTGTGAGTAGATGAAGGGGAGAGGCAGGCAGAATTACAAAAATTGCATCTGTCTAAAAATACATTTCTTCCTGGAGAAAGTTTTATACGAGGATCTGGGGAAGCATTTTTAAAACTGTGTGTGTACTTACAAGTTCTATATATTCATTAAATAAAAGCACTGAGTAGAATATTTGAAATACATACTTTTTTGTTTCGAGGAACTAAATTAGCATTGTCAAATCAGAGAGTACACCAAAATCCAAGGCATTGAGAAAATTTTACTGGTGTGACTGGATTTTTAAATTACATTTTATATCATCTTATTTAGGACTCTTGATTGTGAATTATAGAAAATTTTAGTGTTTAAGCAGAAAGGAAAATTTATTTTAAGAATTTAAAGGCACCTTCATAAGGGTTAAGTTATTTCATTTTCTGGACCTTTTTGTGACCAGGATTGAAACACTGAGAAACAAAAGAAATATTCTTTCTTCAGCCTTTCTTTGCATGCTTCTTCATTCCTTTCATTTCAACTCACTGATACACACCCACTTCCTAGACGCCTGGATTAGGTGCTGGGGATTAAGATTCCTCCTTCCCACATACTCAGTATCTCAC